CACACAGTTCATTTTTGAACGTTAATTTGTGGATTCCAGATTTTCACCGCTGCCTACAACAACCGCTTCAAGTCGGTGACACCTTCACAGCTAGTGGAGTACTCAAGTCGAATGCTAAAACGTAGCCAATCTGTTTGGGCAGCAGCTTACCTTATTTCTAGCTGGTCCTGCAGCCTCGATGGCGCTTTGTTCGGCAAGAATACCTTCGCCGAGTTGAGCCATCGCCTAGATGATCCGGCATACACCCAATTTGCGTGGCGTCCAAAGAAGAAAGTGGTAAGATTATATTTTCTCGTTCTAGCTCAACTGCACTCGAGGCGTGAAATTATGGTAAAGAATGCTAAAATGCTCAGAAAAAGATGAAATATCATACTTGCCAGGCCCCTTTTTGGAAGATTTTAAGAAAAAATGGAGCGATCTAGGAAGGCATAATGGTCTTTAACAAACAAATAAAAATTTCAGCAACCCTGTGAGGATGGCTGGACACTTGGGAATGGCACCGACAACTGCTACAAGGTACCAACTCCAAACTACTTCAAAATTGGCGATTAGTTTCTACCAAGCCCCATTCAATTCACAGAAGCCGCCTTTGGATGTGAAGCACTCGGGGCAAAAATGGCCACCATTCATAGCGCTGCAGAAAATGCGTTTGTCATTGGTAAGGAGTGGAGCTATACATATAGAGAGAGAGAGAGAGAGAGAGAGAGAGACAGAAAAAGAACTAAATTAACTTTCAAAGGGCGTTAAAAGGCGTTCGAAAGGGACCTATAATTAATCTATTTTTTAGGTATGGGCTCGCCGGAAGTGTTTGGCGCTCGATCCAACTTGCTATGGTTGGGTTCCGCAAGGGTACAATTCACGCATTACTATTACGCGGGAAATAGCTAAAATGCTGACGGACGAAATGCCGACATCCCAAATGCCGACAAGCTAAAACTGTATAACTTGCAGTACTCTTCATATTCGTAAAAACCCTGTTCAATTCCAAAAGTCGCTCAGATTGTTGGTCTTTTGACTTTCGGCATTTTAGCTATCGGAAATTTAGTTGTCGGCAGTATCACCAGAAGCTTTTTATTCCCGCCCAGATGTTTGGTTTAAGACAGATCCATCAAAATACGGCTTCGCCTGGGTCGACAAATCGAAGATGAATTATGTGAATTGGGACGATCAATACATGGACGACACGGGCGGAATCGAGTCTTGCCTGATTGTAGGGAATTAAAGTGATGGCGCCAGCTACAGTAGCGGTCAAAATGATGTCCCCTCGGGAGATCGCTTGGTGCTCTTAAACTACAGGCCCAAATTTTACGAAACGTCGTGTCTAGGTCAATTCGGCTGCGGAGAATTCGATGGCAACATTGAAATCAATTGAAAATTTGATTTTAATGGTCAAAATTCGATTTCAAAGAATCTGTAAAAGTAAACTTTTTCATGGGGGATTTTCGGGTTTCAAAAATGTGTCCATCGTGTTCGCAAGGTTCGAAAACCACTAGTCGGTTATTTTACGACAGTTTTTCTACCGGGGCCTACCCATACTGACGGCCGAAAGTTGCTGTCGCGCGGGCCCGGGAAAGCGCCCCGCGGCGACAACTTCCGGCCCTCATGATAGCGAACCTCAAAGAGATAAATGTTTTAAAACATGTTCGAGATAGGTTTTCGACCCTTGCGAACACGATGGACACATTTTTGAAACCCGAAAATCCCTCAGGAAAAAGTTCATTTTAGCGATTTCTTTAAAAATTAAAGTTTGATCACTAAATCAAATTTTAAGCCGATTTCAAGTTCACCATCGGATTCTCCGTATCAAAATTGACCTAATGGCAAAGTTTCATAAAATTTGGGCCTGTGGTTTAAGAGCACCAAAGGATTTCCCGAGGGGACATCTTTTTGACCGCTACTGTAGATTTTTTTGCTCTAGATGCACCCAAGTGGACGCTGGAATGACGCAAGGTGCACGGATACCTTCCGGGCCATTTGCCAAAAAGACATGGTTAGGGGTTGCCTATTCGATTATGATAGGTATTCAGAACCGTAGTGCCAAGCTGGTAGACAAGAATCCGTATAAAGCCGGGAGTCGATTCAACATGACGATAACGTGGGTTTTTGAGGTAACAGGTCCTCTAAAGATTTGGATACGCTACCATAAGTATGCCAACAGTAGTTAGTTTTCATCTATTTTTAGCGTTTCCGGGGCGAATCAAGTTACTGTGGCCTACGGTAGCGGAGCGTCATGGACTGGGAAGACATGGAAGCAGACGGGAGAACTGGCTAGCTTGACGGCGGTTCGACGATTTGAGGTATCTGGCCACACAATTCCTTCTTGGTAACAGAGCTATTTCTCCTTCGGTCTCTCTCCCTCTCTCTCGCTCTCTCTCTGGTCTCTCTTCCTCCACTTTATTGATGTAATTCTGAAATTTCAGTGTTATGGACAGCTCCAAACTGTGGTGCTCACCGGATCGAATTTGGTTGGAAATACGGTAAGTAAGAGACCCAAGGCGTTTCAATCCAGTGCGAGCGGCTTGCAGTTGTTTGCTTTCGCAGATAATTATTAACCATCGATAGTCCGAATTATAGGCAACTGATTATGAAGACGTGTGTCCCCTCTTTGGAAGCGAAATCAACAAACAGTTTGGCAGAGATGGAAAGGATCAGAAAAACGGGTAAGTCAAGCAGCGCACCGAGCTTCTTAGACGCTTTTTGTGAGTTAGCTGAAACTGAGCTTCTTTCAGTTCAACTGACAAAGGAAAATGGTCTGGTGATGGTAGCGGAAAAACCCTGAGCAAAGGCGATATGGAGGAATTGGCAAAACTGCTGGCTAAGAATCTAGAAATTGATGTGACGGTGAACCAAACGGTCATCCAGGGAGGGGCACCAGACTTGCCTCCTCTATGAGTTTTATTTGTCAACAATAAAGAATTTACTGGTGAAGACAAAGAAAACAGCACTCGAAATTATTTCAAAAACTAGAAAACTTCAAAAAGCATCCAGACATTGTAGAATTTAGTTAAGTCCATAGTACTGATCAAAATTCCGTGGAATGTTACGTTTTTATGCTTTTTCCATTAGGTTTCATGTTTGCTCTTCCTTTTGGGTGTGGTCAGAGGCCGGCGGCAGACACCTACTCTGGGTAGAGAAAGGTTGTCAATGATTTTTATGTCGTTATCTCCCTTACATTTCCTCTCTCTCGCTCTCTCTCTAGCTCTCGCTCTCCCTCTCTCTCTTTCTCCCCTCCCTCTCTCCCTCTCCCCTCTCGCACATGCACTCTTTTTCTCCCGTTCTCTGTTTCTCTATCCCTCTCATTTTCACTCTCACTTTCACGAACTACTCTTTCCCACTCTCTTGCTTTTTCTCTTTCTCCCTCACTCTTTCTCGCTCTCGCTCTCTCTCCACTCTCTCTTTCTTGCTATCTCTCTCACCCCTCACTCTCTCTCTCTCTCTCTGTATCTCTCTCCTCGCTCTCCCTCCCTCTCTCCCTCTCTCCCCTTCTCCCTCTCTCTCGAGACATGACATAAATTTCGCATCAGCAATTAACATCCCAAAATTTCAACAATTTAGCATCTCATTTCCGGTGCAAAAACATGCCGCTCAGAAATTTTCAATCGTCATTTCCTATTTTTCTACCAACCCAGATTCTTTTGTGGTCTAATAAGTTAAGGTAATCAAATCTCATTTTATGCAAATTTTTCTTGCTCAGATGGCAGCCGGCCGGATCGACAAGTACTTAAATTTGGGTCGCTACGCGCTGCTTGTGTGTGTAACTTGTGAGGTATCGCATTTAAGTTGGACTACAATTTCTTTTTTTTAGCTAATCTTTCTTATGCAAGCCGGCAATTTTCTCTTCATGGCATTTGGAGGTGAGCAACATGGTGGAGGCGTTCAGTCACAAAATTTTTAGGCGAACCTCCCCACATCGTCGGCTGCGACTACCGCAATGGCACGAAGGTGATGATGGCCGAGGAGGAGATGGTGTGCCGCGAGATGCGCACCGGTCAGTGCAAGCCGATTCTCGACTACTCGTTCAACTCGATCAACGTGGAGGTAACGGATGGTGGTCGTGTAGACTGTAAGTGATGGTGCTGACGAAAAATACGTCACTCAACGAGTTCAAGCAGTACAACTCGGTGCCGCCTCAAGTGTTATCGGTGTTTTGGCCGAGGCGCTGCGCCCAAAATCGGCTTTGGTTCTGTTCTATTTCGCGGGGGAACTGTGCGGGGGAAATTTTCTTCGTTTTGTTATAACTCTTTTACATGATGCTATTTTGAGTTGTAATTAAAATTCGTAGTATATTTTTTGACGCTCTACCGAATGGCATTCAAGAAATTTTTGAAAGTTATCGAAAATGTCGAAAACTAGCTTTTGACTCCACGATTCCATGTGGAAACACCGAACAAACCTTGTTTTTGCTATAACTATTTTATAAAACAATATTTTTAGATGAAATTAAAACTCTTAGTATATTTTTTGATGCTCTATCGAATGACAGGTTCATATATCGAAAAAATGGCGAAAATGCCAAAAACTAACATTCCGGAATCAGTTTCAATAGTTTTTTTGTTTTTGCTATAACTTTTTTATATTACAATATTTTTAGCTAAAACAAAAAATCTTAGTATATTTTTTGATGCTCTATCGAATGGCGTTGCAAAAATCCCGAGAAAATAGCGAAAAGATGGAAAATTCCGCAAAGCATATTTCCCCCCCCGCACCGTTTTTCCCCCCGCGAAATAGAACAGAACCTCGGCTTTAAATGGATAGCAACATCTACCAATTCATCAACCGCTTTTGATTCCAGTTCGACTTCTTGTGCCCGGAGAACGCGAAGGTGATCAAGGACAGCACCTCGCTGCAGCTGCTCGGCAACCTCATCGGCGCCCTCATCTTCGGGCCCGTGTCGGATCGGTGGGGCCGGAAATGGGTAGGACATTTCCTACTTTACCGCTCAAATGCATCTAGACAATGCTTGCCTGCGTGTTCTTCTCCGGCGTGTTCGGCTTCGCGTCGTCGTACGCGCCCGGCTACTGGTCGTTCACCGTGCTACGCGCCTTCACCATCTTCTTCAACGTCGGGCATCAAGTGTGGGTGCAGCTAGTTTAGCGAGTTCGGTTCTTTTGCATTATTCGGGGGTCCGCCGCTTCACAGTCCCTTTAAGACCCCGATTTTTCAGAATCATCACGGTGTTCATGTGTGAGACGCTGCCGGCGAAGCACCGTATGTGGCTGAACTTCATCCTCAACTGGTCCCCCAACATCATCATCGTCACGGCGATGGCGTGGACCGTCCAGGATTGGCGGTGGTTGCAGCGCTCCCTTGGACTCCTCGGAATCCCCATCAGCATCATGATGTAGTAGGTGGCTTGACTGGTAATCTACCATCAAAATGTCAATTTTCGGACTACCCTGTCTTTTCTAGCTTCTGCAAAGAGCCGGTCTACTGGCTGGTCCGCCAGGGGCGCCTCGATGACGCGATGAAGGTCGTCGAGGAAACATCGAAGATGGACGGCATCGAGTACGACCCGGTCCCGTTGCGCAAGCTGTTCGAGGAGGAGCGCGAGGCGTGCAAGGTTTGATCATCTACCGCAGGTTGAACCTCTTGAACTCCTTGCAGCGCACCGCCGGCAAGAGCTACTTCTACCAGCACCTCTTCTACACGTGGACCCTCGTCTCCTACTCGGCGACGATGTACTTCAGCTAGTGGGTGTACTAATTCTCCCCCGCTAACAAACCAGAACCTTCTTACCTTGTCAATCCTTTTAAAGCAACGTTACGTCCGTATTTCCCATGTCAACGACCTCTTTCCAGCATTTGCGTCGGCGCCGTCACGTACGGCCTGTTCTTCAACCTCGAGAAGCTCTCCGGAACCATCTACGAGAAGATGGTGATGCTCTCCATCTGCCGCACCGTGCTCAACATGACGCTCGCCGCGCTCGACTACAAGATCGAGTGCCTCGGGCGACTTGTAGGACTACACGCCTGGACTACAAACTACACATATCCCCTTCAGAAAGCGCACTATATGTTCGCCGTGTACGTCGTGTTCGGGCTGGGCTGCGTAGTGGTGATGCAGTACACGGGGTTCGACCGCGAGTTCGACGACGTCGTCAAGTACCTCGCCCTCACCGCCATTTCTGTGGCTGCGATGGTTGGTAGTGATCCTGAACTCCTTGGACTTGTTGGAAATCTCGAAATTCAGAATCTTGAAGTCTTGACATCATGATAGCATATCTTTCAGATTCTGCTGACGAACCAGGTGGTTGTCTCCGAGATCTACCCGACCCCCATCCGCAACAAGGCGTTCGCTGTCGCTCAGATGAGCAACAACACCGGCTCCGTAATCGGCGTGCAGCTCTTCAAATTGGTGGGAAAAGCCTGAAGTCAAGATCAAGCCGTTCAGACCGAAGTCCACCGCGCCATCCCGTTTGGCGTGCTGATGGTGATGGTGGCGATGGAGACGCTGCTGTGCTCGCGCTTCATCCCCGAATCGAAGAACAAGCCCCTCGTCGAGCATATGCCAAGCGCCGACGAGTCGTTCTGGACGTGCTGCAACAAGGGGGAGAAGAACAGGAGGAAGAGGGAGAGAACGGTAAATAAATTTAAGGACCGCTATAGCTTTGCGCGGATTTTGAGGGGACAGATAAGTCGGTTCTGATCTGTTGGCGAGGGTGAACAATCAATTTTTGGGTTTTACACTTATATTTGATAATCAATAATGTAGTTTTAAAACGTTTTGAGTTGGTTTTGATTGCTAAAAATTTATAAAGCATGCTTTTAAAAATTTAAAAATTGGAAATTTTTACTTATTTTGGTCATTTTTCATACATTTTGACTCCAAAATCGATAATTTTCGAACTACGTATTTTGTTTTGAAATTGGTTTTGTATAAATAAACTATGTAAAATATCGTAAAAATGGTTTTTGTATTTTGTTATAGGGCCGTAAAGAAACACAAGGAAAAATTTGATCCCCCCGCTATCATTCCTAAACTAGTTGGCCATCCATGGCCCTTTAATGCCTATAAGCCAGTCGAGCTACATTAATGGATACTTCTTCCGTTTCGGCCAGCAATTTTTTCCAGAACTCGTCCACCGCCACCAACTCGACCGAAGAATCGCAAAAGTCCAGCGAGGCGGACTGCTCGGTGTCGGTCTCGATGGTCTCGGCGTACCAGGCATCCGCTTCCGACTCATCCAAATCCGACTAAACGCGCCCATCCATTCCATTCGATCCTTGCCTGTCATTTCCCGTTAGGATTCGATGCATAAAGATTTTGTCTTGCGAACGATTCTTTTTCAAAGCTATTTTTTGTCGACGGAGGGAGAGAGAGCGAAAGAGCGAGAGAGAGAGAGATAGGGAGAAAGAAAGAGAGCGAGGGGGAGAGAGAATCCTGAAATCCTTATCCTGAAAACAAGAGCTGTTTGTTTTCTGAGTCTTGGGCTCCCAGCAGGGAGGGAAATTTTCTGCAGGGGAAACCAATTTTTTTCAATTGTCCTGTTCCGTATTTGTGACTTTTCGGGCAAAAATTTTTGAAAATTGCCCAAAAAACTCAAAATACCAAGTGATTTTGGCTGTGTTCACCAACGGAAAAACATCGGCCAAAAATTTATCTGGGAAAAATCGGCATGAAGTAAGAGAATCGTGTTCACAGACAAATCAACAAAGGAGCGACATTTAGGCACTGGCGACTCTTCATCAAATTCGCTTTTACTCCTCTATGGTTAGATAAGAATTTCAAAGATTATCTCCCCATCGCCATAGCGCACTCTCAGTTTCTTCCCATCCTGCCGTGTATATTCATTATGGTCTCGCCCCAGGTGGAACATTATCGGCAACCTGGCTTGGCGCGCCAGTATCATCCCCAACCTGATTTCCCGAATCCCAGCCATCCACTCCGCTGTAATCATCTCCCGGAATTGTTCGACTTTATCAGCGTCCTCCTCCAGAAACTCGTAGACAAACAAAGATTTTCGAATCGTAATCGCAGTGGCTAACTCGTCCACATATAAATGAACCCCAGCCACCCGCTCTTTGATAAATCGCATTAATTCGGGGGTCAGTTGAAGTTGAAATAGGGATGCCCAATGAAATTTCCCATCGGCCACCCCAACTGAAAGAGGGTCGTAATCTAACTGGAACGCGTGAGACTCCTTTAGAAAAAGTGTGGAGTGTTTCGGTAAGTACGAGATCGCAGCCGAGTCCCGCCACTGGCTAGGCAGCGGAACATAACGGCCAAAGCCCTCCTTGGCGACGTTGTGATATATGGACACTCCGCCATAACGCGACGCGACGACGTCATAAGATGTTCGGTTAGCCGGTAATCGTTCGGTAATCTCCCATAGGTATCGACAGGTTCGGGAGTAGCGGAAACGCGTGAACGGGTCCATCTCGCTGATGAATTCCAGGAGGCGCTGATGAAAGGGGAACGGCAGATCCAACAGTTCCACTGGCGAGGGCATACCTGAAACTTACAATGTATCTTTATTTAGTTATGCAAAGTCTACAATATTTGCCGAAAATTGAGGTCGAAGTAAAGACGATAAGCTGGCTGAAGGCTCCCAAAATGCTGGAATTTTGAAAAAAAAACCGTTGGGGGACGGGCAAGTATCACCGAAAAACCGCGGGGCAGCCTGGGCGGGCAAAGCATCTGCTTCCCCTATCGCAACATCTGACGTGAAGCGTAATTTCCATATCGATTTTTGGCAAGAGTGCGCGAATTTCGTGTCTGCGTGTTTAAAATCCCTGCGTTAAAGGCACAAAGAAATTTTACAAGTTGAGAGTCTTACGAGGAACCCCCTTACAAGTTGTTAGCGTTTTTGAAATTGAATTTAAAATTTTCAAGCGTTTTCTCATCCAAACAGGGGTAAAAGAGCATGCGGCGTGATCGCGTTGCGGCTGGATCTAACTATTTGCCAGGAATCAACGCAACCGTGGGCCAGATTTCGGAGCCCCTTTAAAGGATCAACAACGATAATTTTGAATGATTTTCGGTACCGTATTGTCCGTGAAATTTTTATTGTACAAGGGTTTAGATGTGAAGCACAGAGAGTACCAAGCAAGAAAAACTCTAGAGGAGATGGGGAACGAGCTAGAGAGCAACTGCAGCTGGGTTCTCACTTTCCTCGATACGATACAGGCCAGAATTTTCCAAGCGAATTAGCTTCTTTCCATCATGTCGAACGTATTCGGTACGACTCGGCTTCATACCGGCTTTGACGGCCGGCACCGTGATAATGATTATTCCAAACTTGATGCTCCGGATTCCGGCCTTCCACTCGTCCAGAATCTTCTCCACAAATCGCTGAATCTCTTTCGGCTCGCCCTCCACAAATTCAAACAAAAACCTCGGGCTTCTCAAGCCGATCGCCACTTCCGGGTCGACGACTCGATGCTGTACATACATGGCATGCTCATTGATGAATCGGATCAATTGCAGCGCAAGTGTCTGGTTGTTCTCCAAATCCACGTCGCGAAATTTTCCATCTACCGGCTTAATGGCATTTCTCGCGACCTGGACTCCCAAGTTATCTGGGTCCGAATAGAACAGGTACGACGATTATATAGAAAGGTAATCCAGCGATTGCTCAGTCATCTTCCATATGGACCGACGAGTTCGAGAGTAGCGAAATTGGGTGAACACGTCGGAGTTGTTGATAAAGTGCAGAAGACGATAGTGGAACGCAAGGGGTAGATCGAGATAATCCATCGGTACCCCATCCTAGAATGCAAAAATTAATTTTTTTTAGAAATTAAAAAATTAACTCTTCAAAGAGAAGAGAGAATGGACATGGTAAAGTATTTCATCGTAATGCCTGCGATAAGACCCAGTCTTTTTCGGTTTCTTTTTGCAGCTTAACAGGCTTGGCCGAAATCCAAAAAAAATGCAGGAGGTGCTACTCTGGCAGCAGGTTCCGGGCGCCGCCGGGATTTCCTTGCATAATCCCGGGCTAGTCGAATTCCCGGGTGTTCTAGTTGTTTATGTCGAGTCTGTCCTGCAGATGTGTAGGCCAGTGATAGGCCCAGATTTTTCTGTATATGATTCTGTAGGGCCCCAATAAATGCTCAAATCAAGCCGAGTCATCCCGGGGGAATTCGCATGGCAAGCGTTTGGCACAGTGCACCATTGGACGAAGGTTCGATTTGGTCAGGTTAGAATCTGGTTCATCAGCTGGTCGTAAGGATTCAATTAGCATAAGGCCACGCTACACGACAGCGACTTTCGATTTCGATTTCGATTCAGTTTTCGCGGGGGCGCGCAAACCAGATTCTGGTTTCCGGAATCGGCGTCTGAAACTACTTCGGAATAAATAATGAAAATATTTTTAAAAAGGAGAGAAATGAGAGTCACCACTTTAAATTAGCGTTAAAAGTTTACGGTGTGTTTTTAATTTCACAATTTTATGGTATTTTTGCTTTATTGAAATAAAAATCGCCTGGAGGGAAGTAAAGACGAATACAAATATATTTCGGAGCTGAGGAACATGGCAAAGCCGAAAGTTGGGCACTAAATAAGCATTTAAAATGTGGATCATTTTCACACCTACGTCCCCTCCCAAAGCTGGACACAATCATAGTAACGATCAAAGAACAGCCATTGCACAAAGGTTCGACCGGGTCCGTCATCGGCAATGCGCCTGCCAACGTCGAAACGTTTATAGGATCGCTTTTTGAAGCGGATGGTCCCAAGGATAATATTCCTCTTGCCCGCCTCCCACTGGTCCCTCAATTTGCAGATCAGCCATTTCAGTTTTTCGTCCGAAATGTTTTCCAAAGTCCATTCGAAATTGGGACATTCGAAGGCAATCAAAGATTCCGGGTCATCTTGATTGCACACAACGTGCTGCGCTTTGGTATTGCCAAATCGAATCAATTCGGGCGTAAGCTTTGGCACCTTGTAGTCAACTTCTTTGTATTTTCCGCCGTTCGTCTCGATCTGATCGACCGATTGAAAAAGAGAGGGTCCCTTCGGAAGATTTGAGTTTTCCGGTATAGAGAGGATGTCCGATTGGTTGTCCTCAACGACGTCTCCGTTGTTCCATTGAGCGGGTCGCAAAATTACCAAAGAGCTGTCGTTTGCTGGCCGGGTCCAATTCTCCGTGTTGATCACAGCAAATCCGGCCTGATAATCCAGCGATTGTTGGGTCATCTTCCATATCGGACGACAGGTTCGAGAGTAGCGAAACTGGGTGAACACGTCGGAGTTGTTGATAAAATGGACAAGACGATAGTGGAACGCCATTGGCAGGTCGAGATAATCCATCGATGCGGATACCTGAAAAGTTAAAATTAATGTTTGGAACTTCAAAAACTAAAAAATTAAACCCTTTGAAAGAGCAGAGAGCACGGACATGGAAGAGTTATCGTAATACCGCAACGGATACTGGAGATTCGATCGAAAAAAAACTTGATTACAAAAACTACAACTAACAAAAACTTTTGAGTGGGATTACGGTGTCTCGAAACTACAATCATCTCCCGCGATTCGGCCACCTGCCGTAATCGTTTCCCCTGTGTATCTGCCGGCTAGACGCAGAGAACGCGGGACCCCGGTGTCGTAGGAAAAGAGAGGGAAAAAGCGAGTGAGAGAAAGAGAAGGAGAGAGACAGACAGAGAGAGCAAGGGCGCTGAGAGAGAGAGAGCGGACCGAACGCCCGTGGGCCACGCCGGGTTACGGTGTGGAATGTTGAAAAATGTACGGTATACAACAGTGCGGTTTTAAATGAATTCCGTGTTTCGTATCCTTTTTGCCTGCATTAGGTCGCCACAATCGATAAAATTTGTAAACGAATTACCGTGAGAAACAAAAAAATACTGGAGAGAGAATCGCCCCCAATAAGAGAGAGAGAGAGAGAGAGAGAGCGAGATAGAGAGAGAAAGAGAAGAGAGCTAGAAAGCGCGAGAGAGAGAGAAGAGAGAGAGAGAGAGAGAGAGAGAGAGAGAGAGAGAGAGAGAGAGAGAGAGAGAGAGAGAGAGAGAGTACTCGCCGGAGCAGGTCGAATTGCCGCCGACCAGGACCGGTGTGACGGTATCCATGGTTCAAAAGCCTGACGGTATGTGGTGTATTTTTATCTTGTTTGTGCAACGAGATTTTGTTTTATTAAGGTCGAGTCAAACCATAAAAATAGGTGCCAAATTGATTCCATTCAAAAACGCCGAAATCAAATTGAGGAAGGAGGGTATGTGCGGATAAAAGTTGACAAGAAA